GGTTTAAAGTTTCAGGTTTAGGCTTTGGGATTTCGGGTTTGGGGTTGAGGGTTCAAGCTTTGGCTGACGACTGAGAGCTGCGAACCCAGGCATGCAAGAACGTCAACAAACCTGCACGAGCCACGGTAAACAGCTCCCAACCCCGAACCACAAACCCTAAATGCTGGCTCAAATCCTTTGGCCCTGAACCACATAAACTCCAAACGCCACACTGGAAGCCCTTTTCGTTGAAGTCCCAGAGCTCTGCACCGATCGCACACCAAGAGCGTTGCAACATAACCACCTACGTAACTCAAAAGGCAATCGGGATCCTGCTCATTGCTTTGCTTCCTGTCGTTTCTTGCCCCGCATGCTGCAATGTTCTCTAGTTTTCGCACTACACCCACGATGAGCATTGAGACTGTTATTGCTGTCCTCGGTCTTGGATGTTGCCAGACCCTCTTAACTGTAGAATATACTGCACTTATCTTCAAGTTTGGTGTTTAGGGTTCTGGGACTAAACCCTAAACCCTAAACCCTAAACCCTAAACCCGTAGGTCAGATTACTGTCAAGAACCGCCGAGCTTAGAACTGAAGGGTTCTGGCTGAGTACAGCCGCAACTGGCGACATTATCAGGCACGGGGTGCTCTAGAGGTAATATAGGGGCCTTAGTAGTTAGAATAGGGTCTGGGGGTATATTATACTATAATTCTAGTAAGGAGCCCCTCCAAAAACCCTGTTCTAATTCTTAAGACCCTTACATTAGAGGTATTCCAGGTGAGAGCAGTCGGTTTCGGGTGTAAGGCGTGTGTTTCAGATTCAGGCTGACCGCTAAAACCCAAACTCTGTGGAACCGCGTTTAGGGTTTAGGGTTAAACACAAACAACCTAAACCCACGACCCCGCAACTCCTGAACCGTAAATGTGTTGGAACAAGGGCAAACGCCAGCACTCTAAACCATCTCTTTGGCGTCCATCGAACACAGCCTTGACGCAACTCTGAGCACGCTTCGGAAAACACAACAAATATCAAAGCCATGAAAGACAACCATACTTAGCAGCGAAATCGTTCAGAGGCCGCACAGAGTTGTCAGACCCAGATTAAGCGGCTTGCTAACTCGTGGTGTAGGGTCTCAGTTGTGGGGATGTCGGACAAGTCTCCGAGTGGGAGAGCCGCCGGGCGACCTCATCCAAGGCCTTGGCCTTTTCTGCAGCCTGACGCTTTAGGGTTTAGGGTTGATCTGAGCTGATGTTCGCGTCACCAACTCAAGAAGGACATGGCTGTCACGCAGCATTCTTTAATATAGACCCTACTACCCCGAATTTCCCTAATACTGACTGGGGCTCATTTCGTGTTTGGGGTTCGGGGTGTACAACCTACAGGAAGCATTGGGTTAATATGGGAGTTTCCGAAAATTAGGGGTACCTTATTTTGGGGTCCTTATAATAAGGATCCTATTATTTGGGGTACTATATTAGGGTCCCCTATTTTCGGAAACCCCCATATAGAGCTCTGCAAGCTGAAGTCTTTGAAGCCTCCTTCGGCTTGGTGTTGGCACGTCAGGGTTTGGGGCTTCTTGTTACCCTAAGGGTCAAAGTACCTAATAGTCATATACTCTCCCAAATAGTAACCTACATAACTACTATCCGAAACCTAAGTAACTGATTATTGGGTCCTTTGAACCCTTGGGGTTATGGCACAGGGATCGTGGGTTTTTGAGAACTATTGCTGCTGCTCCCGCCAGCCCACAGTCCAATGATTCAGGCATCGATATATACGGGTTTAGGGTTTAGGGCTTAGGGTTTGGTGCTTAGGGTTTAGGGTTTAGGGCTAATATATAGGTTAGGATGGTTCCGATGTAATGATTGTGGTGTGGTATGCAAGAAAAGCCTCCTCCAGAAGCCATCTACATCATGCGCTGTAATGTAGGGGCCGAAATAATTACCTGCATCATTCTAGGGTATTTTATACTACTGTACATTCTAATAAGGAACCTCCAAAATAGTATTGGTACTTTTTGTGGGCCCCTATATTAACAAAAGGCCTCGACTAGTTGGAGTGCTTGCTTAGGACAAGAGGAAATAGGAGATATCTTGCTTCTGTACTACGAGTCTCAGGTTGGAAGGCTTAGATCCCGAGCGTGGGTACTATAGTAACGTGACAATGAACAAATGCCAAAATCTGACACCCTAAACATGAAGCCCAAGACGCCGCAACGTGCTCAACTGCATGGTCCGAACAGAACATCATATGTACTCAACTGATTGGTACCCGACACCCAAAGAAAACGCAATGCCTTAGTTATGGCAGGATTGTAAAAGCAGGACAAAACTTATCTACTCAGCTATTGAATTCGTCGCCCACCTTCTCCGCCTTTGACAAGCTGACCCGCCGATGCAGCGACGTGCACAGAGCACGGAGCCTACTGGGATTTCCGTCGGACTTCCATAGGCTTCCGGCAGCTGGGGGTTCTGTTCAAAGGGTCCAGGAGCCTAAACCCCAAACCCTAAGTTGCGGGCTGTCTTTCCCTAAACCCTAACCCCAAACCCTAAATCCTAAACCCTAAACCCTTAACCCAAAACCCAAAACCCTAAACCCTACGTTGTGGGCTGCTAAGAGCTTGGCTTGCAAGGCTCGAGTCGGCAGTTTCTGCGAGGGTTTCGGGTAGGGCTTGGGGTCTGCCAGTTTGGGATGTTTTTAGTGTTCCGTTAAAGGGGTCCTTAAACGGGTTCCATAAGGGCCACTATAGGGGTTTAGGGTTTAGGGACCTTCAAAATTAGAACGTGAAGCCTCTTTGGGAACAGAGACGGTTTTAGGTTTTAGGGTTTCGGGGTTTAGGGTTTAGGGTGACCTCTTTAAAGAAAGTGCGCCGCCTGCTTGAAGGATGAGGGGTAGGTTACGTGTAGACGTACCTATAGAGTTTGCAATTTCTGATAGGCAGTGAGACGGTAGATAGTTATAGACCCTAGCTAGAAGTTCCCATGAACGCCCCTTATCAACAAATGCAGTTGTTTAGTAGCCCCCATGAACTTAGAGCATGCTAATTTTAAAGTACAGAACTACATGGGGGTTCCCGAAAATAGGGACCCTAAGGTAGTACCCTAAATAGTAGGATCCTGATTATAAGGACCCCCAAATAAGGTACCCCTAATTTTCGGAAACTCCCCCATGAAGAGATCCAGAAGTGTGAAAACCTGCCCAGACATGTTCCCTGCCTGGCTGGGCACAAGCTTTGCAAGACTTCCTGGGCCTCGGCTACAGCCGGCAGACAAAGAGAAGCCCCTAACTAAAGCCAAACCCAGCGGTTGGGGGTTTAGGACGGTTTGGGGCTTTGGGGCTAAAGGTTTCGGGTTAAATGTTTAGGGTCGAAAAAACAGTACGGAGGACCAAAAACTTCTGAGGCCAAGTTCAATGCGCACTTGAGCTTATCACCCCGATGTTTCGGGCTCAGGGTTCCCTAAACCCTAAACCCTACGTCCTCGTATGTTGAAAGACGAGGAGCTCAGTTTGAACCCTGGGCCACCTTGAGCACGCTTGGGACGTACATGAGATCGAAACCAATGTTACTGGGTCCGGAAGGCAAGAAGAAACACTTCCTTGTGCGTAGCATCTTAACTCATGCTAAGGGAAGGCTTCCGAAGACGACGCGAACACGAAGTGCAGTCAGGAACCCGCCAGCATGAACCGGGATGCTGCAAGCCGCCAGTTTATAAGAAGGATGATGTTCCAGCTTTCTGGCAACTACAGTACTTTACTTCGCCCCCGAGGAGCCTGTGAAGATATCTCTTGTTCCTACTCTTCAGTTGAACCTGCAAACCCTAAGCGGCCCTAAACAAGAAGGCAAGACGTGTACTAGCGAACCCCGGTGTTCAGAACTTTGTCAAGCTTCCCCACTCTCGTCCCTTGGAGCAACGTCGAGATCGCAGAAGTCTCTGCAAAAGCCCTCGGCGTCCCACCAAGACACCTCTGCTTTACGCTTTTGGGGCGTCAGGTTAGGGAAACCCCAAACCTTTGGGAGCCGGCCAAGACTAATCTTCTCAGAGGCCCCGTAGTAGTTCCTTTTTGGGATTACCTTTTAGGATTCTAAATATGAACCCCGAAAAAGGAACTACTACGGGGCCTGTGGGTAAACCAATTCGACACCCGAGCTTGCGCGGTTTGCTGCAGGAACCCGACCAAGGCATCCGGAGTTCTGCCGAGGGCTCTTTCCGTGGATTTGGTTCGAGAGTTGAGTTTACCCACAGGGTCCAAGTAATAGTATAGTATATACTTTGGGGGCCCAAATACCTACCAATGACTAAGTACCTACTATAATGGTACTTGGACCCTTTGGGTTACAAGAGGTCTGATGAAAGTTCCAGGCACATCGCGAACCCTAAACCCTAAAACCCCCAAAACCCTAAACCCGCACGTTGCCAGGAACCAAGAAACAGAAGTCTCTTGATTGCCAAAGAAGTGGGACTAGGTTTAGAGTTAAGGCTTTAAGTAGGTAGTGCCACGATGCGGGTTAGGATAAGCGCTGGTTCGCTGGTTCAAGAGTTCTATTTTTGTTGATGCGGAAGAAGGACCCAGTACTGTGTAATCCCAATCTCGGCAATGCAAATAATGCACTGATCTGAGACGAGCATTTTGTTGATCCTTCACGGAGTTTGGAGTGGAAGTGCCCAGACACGATTTCTTGCATGGGATCGTGCTGATCTAGCATTTAAGTCTGAGGTCCAGGGGTAAAGGTTTTAAAGGTTCAGCGTAGGGTGTAGGGATTGTGCAAGCGGTTCAGGGTTTATGGAAAGCTTCAAGCCCGATAACGGCTTTCTTGTGACAGCTCATGATGTGGGAACGTCAGGAAGCAAGGGGCACTTGCATGGACCCGCTGAGTCAGACTACCTCGTATACAAATAGCACCAACAGCAACCGCTGATTGTAAGAATCCTACTCTACGAGCCTGACGAGCTAAGCTTGACCGCATGATATCTTTACACAGGGAAAATGAGATAACTTTCTGCGAAGTCTTCGAAGGAACATCTTCGCCACTGATTGAGGTGGCCGTAGCAGAACCGGCGGTTTCCTCGCCGCGAGACGGTCACGAGGAGAGGCGCCAGAGAAGTCAGAGTAATGTAGGGGCCGAAATTATTAGAATAGGGTTTCGGGGCCCAATTATACTATAATTACTTGTCATAAGGAATCCCCAAAATAGTATTGGTAATTCTTTACAGTAGGCCCCTATATTATCGCATAGAGGTCTTCAAGATTGCGATCGAGGCTTGGGGCTTTTCGGTTGCAATTCCAAGGTAAGGTTTAGTGTTGAGGATGCCTTGAACCCTGAACCCAGTTACAGACACCCTAAGCTGCCCGGTGAGCCCCTGACACCGCTACGGCAAAGGAGCTGGGTCTTAACCACGAGTTTTAGGGTTTAGGGGTTTAGGGTTTAGGTTTAGGGTTTAGGGACGAACCCTACAGCCAGCCCTACACCTTCTCAAACCCCCAGAAAGCTCCTGCAAAGGATATCCCCTAAACCCTAAACCCTAAACTCTAAACCCTGAACCCTAAACCCTCTTCTTAGTTTCGACACCAACCCTAAGACTGGCTCAAAAAACCCGAGGCCAAACCCCGAGCCCTGAATCTTAAACCCCGTCAAGCTCATCTAAAGCCCTACCCAGAGGCCCCATAGTAGTTCCTTTGGGATTACCTTATAGGATTCTGAATATGAACCCCAAAAAGGAACGACCATGGGGCCCATGGATAAAGCCCTAAGAAACCCTAAACCCTAAACCCAAAACCCTAAACCCCTAAACCCTACACCCTAAACCCTAAGCCCCCAACCCTACACCCTAGACGGCCCTAAACCCTACACCCTATAAACTCTGGCGCCCTGCGAGGCTTTGTAATTCAGTGCCGGGCCCGGCAAACTTGAAAACGCGAAACCCTGAACCCTAAAGTCGCACTCCAAAATATATAGGGTTTAGGTTTAGGGTTCAGGGGTTTAGGGGTTTAGGGTTTAGGAGTTTAGGGTTTAGTTAGGGTTTAGGGTTTAGGGTTTAGGGTTTAGGGTTTAGGGTTGCGCAGTGGCCGATAGTCCATGCTAAGATGGCGCCACCTCACACCAGGGTTTGTGGGTGGCGGCATACTTGACGTGAAGCGACTTCTTGTGTGCTTTGATTTAGAACTAGGTGCAACCGGAAGTTCTTTTTTCCCGCCCGCTGTGATGATACCACAGGCAACCACCCCAACCATTTC